AGTTGACTCAGTGCCTCATCCAGGCCCCCAGCAATCGCCCCTACTTTCTACTGCTCCAGGGCTATCAGGATGCCCAGGTGAGCATCGCCTCCCCAACCACCCAGAGCCCTATGTCCCCCCTGTCATTGGAGAGTGATAAACCTGTAGTTCTCAGAATTCCTCTGGTTGAGGTAGCCTCAGGTCCTCTGATAGGCAAAACCACAGCAGGTTGTAGAGAGTGAGTGTGGAGGAGGCAGAGGGGAGATGGCTGACAAGATTACACTGGAGGCACAAACAGGGCATGGTCCTGTCACTGAAAGTGGAGGGCAAGCTGTGTCTTTTCAAAGGAGAGTCCACTGCAGGAAGGAGACCCCGTGCAGACATCATTTCTTGAGGGAGGGTGACAGGAGAGTGCATGTCCTGGGGCAGGGACGTCCTTGACTGGTGTCTGGGGTCTTGATCTAGAAAAGCCTGTATTTCTTTGGTGGGGGGGTGGATGAACCCATTTGTAAAAGGTGATGGTTTTCACTGGGACGTTTGACCACTCTGGATGCAGGCAGGGGGTGCTGGCACTTGTGTGTATTTACACATTTGGGTGACAGTGTATCTGAGTGTATTTTCATCTGTTCATTGAACATATCAGTGGCACTAGTACACATTCATTCATGCACAGTCTTAGGTTTATTTTAGAAAGGTGACACACTGCTTCCATTTCTATAGAATGGAGACAAGAGCACCTTTTTAAGAAGGGTTCTTTGGAATGCATCTGTTTGGGGAGTGGATGAGGCAGGTGTTTGAAAACATGATTACTAGAAGAGCCACTGTATGGAAATCTCTAGGAGGTGTCCCCTGTAGGGAGGGGCATAGTAAGAACCTCTGTTGATGTTGTGGGTGTGTCTTTGGAGTCCTCCTACACGTGAGTGGGGGCAAATAGAGGAGTCCATTGTTGGAGCAGGTTTCCTTGTCAAGGGATGGGAATAATGGAGAGAAGGCACTGTAGAAAGGGGTCACCTAGGAAATGCACCTTCATGAGTCCTAGCTAATGGAAGAACATTGGTTTMAGGGGGTCTTTTAAAAGATCTCATTCCTTTGGGAGGAAGGCTCCATCACTGGAGTGGAATAAAGAACAAGTGGGGCCAGGGGTGTGGAAATGGAGGAAGGTTGGAGTGGTCCATTCTTTGAGGACGGAGGTAGGGGGTAGTCCATTTTAGTCGGGGTGATGGATGTCCTTGGAAGCACTCATTCCTTGGGCTGGATGTTTTGGTAGAGTCCAGTTTAGGTGGGGAAGAATTCATTCAGAATTGTTGGGAAAATGAGAGTCCATTGGTGACTGATCACCTCTGAATCATCTGTTCTTTGAGGGAGTGACAAAGTTGGGGCTTTCTTCTGTAAGTATAGAGTTGTGGGGATGTGCATCATGGTAGCATCTCCCATAGAAAGCTCTTTCAAAAGGAAGTGGAGTGTTAGTCCTCTGGGTCCTGGTCGGTCTTGGAAGAAGTGTTCATTTATAGAGTAGGTGGGAAATGGGAGTATTGATGTTGGGATAGAGACTGTTTGGAAGCACCCATTGGGAAGGGAATTGGATTTGTTGTCTTTACTTTTTCTCTAGGACTTTGTGGTGTATGTCATGACAAGGGAGCAACACGTTTTTGGCAGAGGCGGGACCTCCTCATCCCGCTGCGGGTCCCCGGGCCCATACGTGGACACTTTCCTCAATGCCCCTGACATACTGCCACGCCACTGCACAGTTCGTGCGGGCCCTGAGCCCCCAGCCATGGTGCGCCCTTCCCGTGGAGCTCCGGTTATGCACAACGGGTGTCTTCTGCTGAGAGAGGCCGAGCTGCACCCAGGTGACCTGCTAGGGCTGGGCGAGCACTTCCTGTTCATGTACAAGGACCCCCGCACCGGGGGTTCTGGGCCGGCCAGACCCCCCTGGCTTCCTGCGCGTCCCGGGGCCACACCCCCAGGCCCCGGCTGGGCCTTCTCCTGCCGTTTGTGCGGCCGTGGTCTGCAAGAGCGTGGGGAGGCGCTGGCCGCTTACCTGGACGGCCGGGAGCCGGTCCTGCGTTTCCGACCTCGCGAGGAGGAAGCACTGCTGGGCGAGATCGTGCGGACCGCGGCCTCTGGAGCGGGAGACCTGCCACCGCTGGGGCCTGCCACGCTGCTGGCGCTCTGCGTGCAGCACTCGGCCCGAGAGCTGGAGCTGGGCCACCTACCGCGCCTGCTGGGCCGCCTCGCCAGGCTCATCAAGGAGGCCGTCTGGGTGAGCACCCCCAACCGCCATCCAGCCCCACCTGCAGCCCCAGTCTACTCAGTTAGGGACAAGGGTGAGAAGAAAGTATGTTTCCCATGATGCCTCAGGAAGGGCTTGGGCGATTTAGTAAGTGGTCCCACTCTCTAAAGTTTTGGATTCATAGAAGAGGAGATAGTGCCTACCTGTGGAGCTGTGGGATCCTGGAATAAGTCATTCTGGGAAATAGGGCGGGGCCGAGAATTCGAAGAGACCCTTGTAAGAAGTTCGGTGGGCAGCCCACTGGGCTGGGACCTTGCAGCAGTTGCAAGAGAGACCATTATTGGAGGATAGGTTGGTTGGACCTACATATGGGAGCCCCAGAAAGAAGGGTAGAAGTAAGAGTAGAAGAAAGGTTCCATCCTATTGAACTGGAGGCTTGTTAGAGGGAGGGTGTATGGAGTTCTTTGGGGTTTTGAAGAAACAGAATTTGAGCAGAAGAGGCCCCAAGGGCAACAGACCACTCATTCATCACCACCGTCACCTCTTGTTACTTTTTTAAAAAACATGTATTTTTTTAATTGTTGGTAGAACTTTATTTTTATTTATATATATATGTGGGGCTGAGAATCAAACCCAGGGCCTCACACATGCCAGGCAAGTGCTCTGCCACTGAGCCACAATCCCAGCCCCTGCCTCTTGTTACCTTTTAAAAAGAGGGACTAGTGAGGAGGATCACGAGTTAGAGGACAACCTGGGCAACTTAGTGAGACCCTGTCTCAAAAAATAAGTAACAAGGGCTGGAGAGGTAACTCCGTGGCAGAATGCTTACCTGTGAGGCTTAGGGATTAGAGTACATCTGCAAAGTGGGGAGTCTCTGTCCTAAATAGGCTTCTAGAAAAACCAGGACATTAACTCAAGATATACCCTCTCTCCTGACCCTCTCCCCTAATTCTGATCTCACTGTTCTGCAGGAAAAAATTAAGGAAATTGGAGACCGTCAGCCAGAGAAGTAAGAGAAATTCCAAGCACAAAGATCCAGAGGGATGCAAGAGTTGGGATTTGCATCTAGTTGTGCATTTATTCCATACATGTCTTAGTGCAAGTTTCTGTTCCTCCTTGGGACTCAACATTTCTGGCTGTGAAATGGGGCATGGGCTTGGTCCTCAACTTAGACCCAAATCTTGAGGTTTGGACTATTATGGGGGTTGAGCAGGGATCACAGGTTCCTTGCCCTTTCCTCAGCCACCCTGAGGGGATCCCCGAAGTGCCCCTGACTCCAGAGGCTGTATCTGTGGAGCTGCGGCCACTCATGCTGTGGATGGCCAACACCACTGAGCTGCTGAGCTTTGTGCAGGAGAAGGTGCTGGAAATGGAGAAGGAGGCGGACCAGGAGGGTGAGCTCTTACCCAAGCTTAGGCTTTTCCAAGCCCTTCTTCCTGAATCTGGGGCCCTGGGCTCCTGGCTGCCAGCCTGTGGTTCTCCCTCTCACCCTTAGGTCTATCCTCAGACCCACAGCTCTGCAATGACTTGGAATTATGTGACGAGGCCATGGCCCTCCTGGATGAGGTCATCATGTGTACCTTCCAGCAGTCTGTTTACTACCTCACCAAGGTTGGCTTTGCCCCTACTTCCAATTTGACAACATCATTTTCTGATAAAACTTCATTGTGTTGCTCTGATGTCATTTCCTGGTTGGCTTAAAATTTCCTTCTCCTATGACATCACTTCCCATCTCATTCCAGTTCTTTGTTGCTGTGACATCACTTCCTGCCTTTCTGGCTTCTCTTCCTGTCTGCAATTATTGCCTCTTGACAGTCTGGCTTCATTACCTGGTTGTATAACCATTACATTTTCTCAAGCTCCCCCCTCCTTTTTTTTTTTTTTGGTCTACTGATAAATTATAGACAGATAGATAGATAGACAGGCAGGGAGAGAGAAAGATAGTTCAAGTAGTGTTAGGTCCTGTCATTTAAACCAAAGATCTTTAATCAGATCTTATTTCCTGTGTTTGTTGATCTCACTTGCTGTAGCTCTGAACTCACTTCCACTTCTAATCTGGAGACCTTTTTCTCTCTCAGTGCTCTTCCTGCAGGGTCTGCCTCCCCCTAGCTCTGCTTCCCCCATCTCCTGCCATATCTTTGACCTTAATATTGCTTCTTGGACCTCTCAGGGATTTGGTTTACGCTGGGTCTGATTCCCTGTCTGTAAAAGGAGAAGGGAGTCTTTTGGGATAGGATAGGTAGCAGTTCCTTGAACAGCCGTAACTATGAAGCCCTTTCCTCTGAGGCTTCACTTCCTGCACATTCTTGCAGAGGGTGTTTTATTTCTGTATCTGACCTCATTTCCGGTCCTTGGCCTGGTCTCACTTTCTGCCAGCTAATTGCCACCTGACTCCTACTTCCTAACTCTCCATTCTTTTTCTTTCCTTCAGGAATTCTGGATAAAAGAAGGGGGCTCCTTTGTCCACTATTCTTTGTCCTTCTTGAGCTATCTACTGAGAACTACAAGTCCCAAAATGCATGAGAAGTGGTGTTAGAATAACCAAGAAACTTCTAGAAAGTCTTTCTTAAGACTTGACTTGTTCCAGGTTTAATAAATGTTAGAAGCCCATCTGTGAAGTAGGGATTTGCTCATGGAGTCCCTTCAGGTGTTGAATGCAGAGTGGGCTACAACTCCTAGAAGCCTTTAGAGCTGCCCATTATCTTCATGCTCTACCAACCTGAAGCTTCCAGGGAATGTGATCCAATCACTTCTTTTTGCCTGTTTCCTCAGACTCTTTATTCAACACTGCCTGCTCTCCTGGATAGCAACCCCTTCACAGCTAGTGCCGATCTGCCTGGGCCTGGTGCAGAGCTGGGGGCCATGCCTCCAGGGTTGAGACCTACACTGGGCGTGTTCCAGGCAGCCTTGGAATTGACCAGCCAGTGTGAGCTGCATCCAGATCTTGTGTCTCAGACTTTCGGCTACTTGTTTTTCTTCTCCAATGCATCCCTTCTCAACTCACTGATGGAACGAGGTGAGAGTTGGGTTGGGAGCCAGGAATGGGGAGGCTCTTTATTCCAGACCCATATCAAGCTAGACACACAGCACAGGCCACATGTCTGGATATTCTGGAGAACAGAGACACAGACCAAGCTCAAGGACAGGAATGGTCTGGGAAGCAGGCCACAGTCCACCCACATTTACTCCCATAACCTTCCCTCCTAGGTCAAGGCCGACCTTTCTATCAGTGGTCCCGAGCTGTCCAAATCCGAACCAACCTAGATCTTGTCTTGGACTGGCTTCAGGGGGCTGGGCTAGGTGACATTGCCACTGAGTTCTTCCGGAAACTCTCCATTGCTGTGAACCTGCTCTGTGTGCCCCGCACCTCCCTGCTTAAGGTAAACCTTGAACCCCTAACCTCTAACTCTTCAACCCCTCTCAGCCACCCTGTATATTCAGCTCACCCTCAGAGCTCCTGGAGACCCCTTTTCATTCCAAGACTCTGCTTAGATAGCTGGCAGCCAGCACCAACAATAACCACATTTGACTGTGTCTGAATCCCAGTGGAACTTTTTAAAAATAGTTTGCAGGGTCCCTCCTCAGCCATGCTGAGTCAGGAAGTTTGGTATGAGACCAGGGAATGTGCTGGTTAAAATATCCACTGAACAAAACCTTAATTCCAGTCACTGTGTTTCACAATTCTAGTTTAATACTGACAGCTCTGCATGAAAATGGGTTATTATTAGACAGTTCTTCAGATGAGGAAACTGAGAATCATGTAGAACAGGTCACTTGATTTCATTTTTTATCAAACACCGACAGTGCATTTAATAAGCCCCAGGCAGTGTTCCAAGTCACTTTCCAGTTGTCACATTGCATCTTCATAACAACCCTACATGGTTGTTTGACAGATAAGGAAACTGAGGCATAGTGATTTGTCAGAAGATCAGTAAGTAATCAAGCTGAGATCTTTGAACCCAGGCAATCTGGATAGAGTCTCTGATTTTAATCACACTAATGATTCTAATGCCAGCTAGGTCAAGTGCAAAATTTGCCAAACAGATACAATAATAGCCACAATGGAAAAATTAACCCCTCTGTACACATTGCCAGCTTTAATGATACAAGTGAATAGCAGTCTTGTTCCCCACCTTCTTCCTGTATCTTTATTTATTCTGAAACAAATCATATTTTTTAAAGTTTCTGAGAGCAACACCCTTCCCTACCATCCCCTCAGTGACAAGCGGTCTTCACAGTGCCCAGGACACATGGCGTAGACTCCACTATGCACATCCACTCCACTTATGGAGGCCCTTCCACGTGCCATTTCTCAGCTCCCCCATAATGACCATAGACTTCTCACCTGGTCCTCCCACCAGGCTTCATGGAGCAGCCTACGAACTGACCACTCCACCCTGACACCTGCTCAGCTCCACCATCTGCTTAGCCACTACCAGCTGGGTCCTGGCCGCGGGCCACCACCGGCCTGGGACCCTCCCCCAGCAGAGCAGGATGCTGTGGACACAGGTGAGGAAAATGGGGGTACAAACACTGGGGCTTTCAGCTTTGGGGCGTGGGGGTCCCTAGCCCCAGCGCTCTTCTGACCCAGGAGGCTGGTCCCAGTCCCCTTCTCACCAGCACTGGAGTTCAAGGTCCCAGCCCGTCTTTTCTCCCTCTGCAACCCCTCAGCCACCTCTCCTCGGAGTCTGTGCCCCTTAACCTTCAGGAGTCCCTAGGACTAAATTCCCAGCCTTCCTCGGGGATGTAGGAACCTGGCCACCCCCCTGCTGGTTGCCCACGCCACCATGGCCTTTGTGGTCTCAACTACAACCCCCACTGTGCTCCGGATCCCAGAGTCGCCTTTAAGCGGACCCTGCTCCTGCAGTTGCTGAGAGTTTTTCTTCGGGCGTAGTTCAGTCTCGGCTCTTCCTGGCACAGTCGCCTCACGCCCATTTTCAGACTCTAACCTATCTTCTTTGGCCTCAAAGGCGACATCTTCGAAAGCTTCTCCTCTCACCCGCCCCTCATCCTGCCCCTGGGCAGCTCACGCCTGCGCCTCACGGGCCCAGTGACAGACGACGCCCTGCACCGTGAACTGCGCAGGCTCCGTCGCCTCCTGTGGGATCTTGAGCAGCAGGAGTTGCCAGCCAATCACCGCCACGGACCTCCCGTAGCCTCGCCTCCCTGAAGACCAATAGCAAAGGAGCGCGCGAACCTTGAAAATTCTTGGGCTTCTACTCACGGGAGACCGACTGAAGGAAGAGCTTTCTGGGAGTTGTAGTTCCCGTCCCCGCGCGGAAAGCTGGGAGTTTGAATTTTGGGGTAGTAACAGGATGAGACTGGGGGGGGGGGGAGCGGGGGCGGGAAATGGGTTTGGGATGTTAGTGCCAAGGAGCAATAAATGTATCTGTGACTTTAGCAATGCCTCTTTTTATTAAGATTCGGGGCCTTAGAGATGGTGATTTTTAAGGCCTCGGGGCCCTCGCCTGGAGCGTTGGGCTCCTGCCTAGTCGGAGGAGGTATTTATAGCCGCGGCCTCAGCGTGCCCTCTTGCATGTAATCCAACCCAGGAGCACTGGGGCCTCCCACACACCTCAGAACAGGGTCCGAAGTGTGCTCTGCAGGATATCAGGCCCTTGATCCTGCCACTGGGAACCAGCCGTCTCTCCCTCTCACCCCCAAAGTCCAAAGTTGCTTTCTCGTTCTTACCTAGGAATCTGGGTCCCCTTACCCCACTCTGAACCCGTCTGACTTTTGAGCACACCACCGAACCACACCTCTATCTCGGTTCCTAGCACTTCCTCCCGCAAACCCCCAACCCACTCCTTAGACCAGGGGTCTGGCCCTCGGGCTTGAACTTTCCCCTTCCCTAAACCTGACTCCCGCTGCTGTGTCAGGGGAAAAACAAAGCGACAGGTGGCACCTGCCGGCAGAGACGGGACACGACCACCTGCCACTGCTGCTCATTCGGCGCCCCTCTCCCGGCACCTGCTCCCGTCTGTCTGCCTGCGGCTGTCCCGCCCGACCTCACAGCCTCAGGACGACGAGGAGGAGCGAGCCCAGGAACCCCGCCCCAGACGCTGTCAGCGCCTGTCCCCGCCCTTTCTCAGAGTCCCAGGCGTAGCTCGCGTCTCCTCCGCCCACTCCTTGGGCTTCCAGCACGCACCAGAAAGGGGGTTCCAAGGCGGTCCCAGGCTGGTGGGGTGGAGCCTGCAGTCTCCAACCCAGACCGCCAGACTCCACCCGCCTTAGGGCACAGCTGCTCCGAGCTCACCTGGTGAGAAGCCCCTGGGGTGGAGGGAAGGACTCTCCTTAACTCTTCTGTCACTTTTCTGGTCCCCATCCCTTCCTTACAGACCCTGGTGGCTGACATCCTGACCCATTCCCTTCTCAGGTGCAACTTGCAGGCACTCTTCAATTTCCCAGAAACCTTTCAGGACCCCTTTCCCCTGGATATTGAATTCTAGTCCCCTCAAGAGCATTGTGTGCCAGCCCTTAACCTCCTTCCCCTTCAAGATTCAGGGGTCCAGGCCACTATCCCTTCTTCTCCTTCAAAGACCCAGGGGTCGAGTTTCCCAGTGCCCTCCTCCCTGGGACCCAGGTCCTCCCTCTACCAAGATCTGGGAGTCAGGGCTCCCAGCCCCTCCTCCCTCAGACCCAGGAGTTAGGGCCCCAGCCCCTCCTCCCTCAGACTCAGGAGTCCAGGCCCCAGCCCTCCTCCCTCTGACCTATGTGTCTGGGGCCCCAGCCCTTTTGCACATCCAGAAGTTAGGGCTACAGGCTGCTTCTATCCCTAACTACCTCAGAGCTTTTCTTAAGTCCACCCACAGGGTCAGCTTCCTGACCTCCACTTTGACCCTGCTCTCTCTCCAGTCCAGGTCCCCATCCCAGCCTTGGAAATGACCCTGGCAGCTTCCTCCCAGCGCTCCCAAATCATCCGCTCCAAGTTCCGATCTGGTGAGAGGCTTTTCCCTATGGGTTTGGGAAGGGGTCCTGGGCTCCTGGAAACGGGTCTACTCTGGGGTGGGAGAAGGTTGGAGGACCTGTGAGGCATGTATTTTCTGTGCAAAAGGTCAGTCAGCATAAAGGTGTCCATCAAAGGGGTCGAATTGAGGTAGGCCACTAAGTGTGCAAATGGCTAGGTCAGCAAAGAGGAGTGGGCAGCTAGAGGTGGGTGTGCAGATCAGGCACTGCAAAGAACAAGGCTTCAACTGAAATGTATGCACAGCAGACATGCGCACACAGTGGGGACTTTGGAGGACAGGGTGGGAGTTTGGTGAGGGGACAATGAGCTATCGAGCCTTGAAAGTGTCAAAAGCTGTGTTTTAGATTCCAGGGTAGGTGCAAGATATGCAATGCACAGAACTGGGGGTCAATTCCTGAGCAGGCAAAGGGCACCCAAGTGCAAGTGAGTGTGGTTACATGGCTGGGTGTACAAAGACACTAATAACGGAAGAGCAAAAATGTGCAAAAAGGCACACATGTGCAAAGAGCAGAATTGTGCAATGGGACAGCCTTGCTCCAAAATTAGTGGCCATGTCCTTAGGGTGCAAAAAAGAATGTCAATGTGGCTGGGTGGGTGCCAAGGCAGAGTGAGCCAAGGATGAAGTGTGTAGGTTACAAATACACGGAAATAGCATATGTAGATCTAGAGCCCAGAGATGCGTTTCAAGGGTGGGTGTGCAGACTACGGGATGACTGTGGGAAGGGCAAAAGGGGAGCCCAGAAAGAAGTTGGCGCTGCAGAATGGGGTTCATGGATAAAAGGAGGTGAGGTGCAAACGGGCTGGGCTGCCAAGATGGCGATTTTCCTGGGGGTGGCGTGGGCACTGACTCGTGAGGGGCAGGTGGAGCTGGGGTGGGGCTGCCTACTGCCTGCAGGCTGGCTGGCTCCTAGCCCTAGAGCAGCTTTGGCCTGAGGCACTGCGCTGGCAGGGAGCAGGCGGGAGGCCCGGGAAAGGGAGCGGGCTGCCTGCCCACCCGCCTGCAGGGGTGTGTAAGGGGGCTGGGCACTCCTGTCCTGCCAACAACTGCAACTCCCACCCGCCTGCCAAGCCAGGCTCCAGGACACTCCCTTCCCGCCTTCCTCCTCCCACCTCCCTCCTCCTTCCACAGTCCTCCAGCTTCGGATCCACAGACGGAATCAGGACCCGAGTAAGTGTGGGCCCTGAGTGGGAGGGGATGGTGGCCCCGTTTCCCTGGGACATCCTGGAGTACAGCTATGCAAGGTCCCTCACTGGTTCCTGTAGCTTGGTTCCTATACCCCACCCAGGATACACTGAAATTCCATCCTGTCCTTTCCCAAGGATCCAGGAATCCAGGTCCTTGGTCATCCCACCCCTGGGAGCTCTGCTTCCTGCTCTCCAGTTTTCCCACCCCAACAGATGCATGATTCCAGATGCTCTTTGGAGGAGACAGGCTTCCCAGACTCCACTCCACATTCCGTACACATAAGAATGTCAGACTGTGGCTCTCAGCTTCTCCATCTCCCCAAGAACCAGGAGTGCAGGCCCTCATCCCTGTCTCAGCAAAACCCCAGACATCTGTGATCCTCAGCTAACACACCCCTTGGTGACAGAGCTTGCTGCCTTCTTGAGAATGTGAAAATCTGGGCCCCTAGATCCAGGAGTCCAGGCATCCAGCTGCCAGGGCTTGTCCTCCCACACCCCAGGGAGGCTGGGTCCTCCTTTCCCACAGCTTTGCTCCTCCTTGCTGGCTAAATGCCTCCAGGCCACTCAGGTCTTTCACTATCTCTCCAGCCTCAGATTCAGATCCGTGGATCTCAGCCTCAGGCCCAGCTCTGGCCCCAGCTTTGCCCTTGGTCCCTGCCTCTTTCCTCTTCAGCCCTGGCGTCTTGCTCCCTGAGACGGAATATTGTCCTTGGAGGTCCCCAAAGAAGGTGAGTCTTGACTAGAGTGAGAGGAAGTCCCTCTGAGTCTAGCCTTGGTCCTCCTTGCCACTGCCCCATCCTCTTTGGTGACTGCCAACCCCACTGTGCAGTGGGCTCTGGGGCAGAAAGGCAGGAACTGAGCTGAAGCATGGGACATCACACTTGCTGTTTTAGGAGTCTTCCAAGACCTCCCAACGCTGGAGCGAGTCCAAGCCCAGGGGAAACTTAACATACCACCAGTACATGCCCCCGGAGCCGAGACAAGGGTCCAGGGCAGACCCCCAAGTTGAGAGGTCAGCCCTGGGTCCCCAGGGGCCACCTCTGTGGGAAGGGACAAACTCACAGCAGCTACATCCTAGGTATGACCCTCATTTCTCTTCTCTGGGGACCCAGAAATTCAGATCCCATCATCCTGCCTCAAATCCACTGCTCATGACAGGGTCCAGTCCGGAGCCCCTCCTCCCCCAGGACCCAACTCTCCAGCTTCCAGTCCTTCTCCTTTCAGACTCACACCCCCAGTTCCTCCTCTCCCACGTACAGAAATCTAGCCCCATGTACTTGCTTCCTCAGAGACCCAGAATTCTGGGCTGTCACTTTCCTACATTTTCTAGAGCCCCTGTTTATGAGGACCTTAATATGCCTTTTCTCTCTCTGTCCCTTCTAAACTGTTCCTCCCTCACGACCATCGCCAGAATGAAGCCCACTCCCCTCACTCCCTTCCAACCAGGAGTCCCCAGCCCTTCTCCCCCTCCACACAAGTTGGAACTTCAGACTCTTAAACTGGAGGAGCTGACGGTGAGTTTGGGGGACAACTTTCCAGGTGTGTGTCCTTTCTTTCGGTGGGATTAACCGCAGCCTCTGCCCCAAGGAAATCCAGGAGTCTGGGTCCCCAGTTTCATCTTTTGGAGGGTTCCAGGTCTTTCCTATCTCGTTTCCCAAATGTCCTCCCCACTCCCGGCCTGCAGCCCGAACACGCCCAGCACCGACTCTCCCCGCCCCCTCCCCAGGTCTCAGAGCTCCGGCAGCAGCTGCGCCTGCGGGGCCTCCCGGTGTCCGGGACCAAGTCGATGCTCCTGGAGCGCATGCGCGGCGGCGCCCCGCCCCGCGAGCGGCAGAAGCCGCGGCGGGAGGACGGTGCGGCGGGTGCTCCCTGGCCACGCCTCAGGCCCAAGGCCCTGGGAACCTCCCGGCGGCAGGGCACGGTGAGGGCGGCACTATGAGAGTGTGGGCCAGTGACGAGAAGACAAAACAGATGGGGCGGAGGGTCGAAAACTCAGGAACCAATGAAGTTGTGGGGAGAGACTTGGCCCAGCCGAGAAAGCCCGGCGCAAGGGGGCGTGGCTAAGAGCAACTGGGGGTAGAATCTTCAGGGAGGAGGAGCCAATGAAAGGACAGGGGGCGAGGCCAAAGGCGTGGTCCAGGAGTGAAGGGCCGGACCTGAGGG